CTAGCCCACAAGTCCCTGATGCTAGCCCACAAGTCCCTGATGCTAGGACTGTGGTCTAGCAGTATTTTCACCAGCTTAAGACCAAGACCAAGACTGTTGAATGTGTCCTTCCAAGATGGAGGAACCAGCTACCAAGCTAGCAGAACAGCAGAAAGGAGGGATGCTCACAGCTGTATGAGCAGAAACATCTTTGAGATTTGAAAATAAAAACATGTGAAGCTTTCCTTTAGATAAAGCTGATAGTTACAGATCTCAGGGACCCTGAACCCCCCATAGTTCTGATAACCGTGCGGCTAAAAGCCTCATATGATGCAAATGTCTGGTTAGTTGCTGGTTTTTGGTATTTAAAACTAGCAAGTCCAGTCAGGTCAAACTAAATCCAGAACATGCTGAGATCTCTCATCACTTTAACGATGAACAACTTCTTACAGTTTTTCAATAAGAAAGATTCAAAGAAAGTTTGTCCTAACTAGGCCTGGTCCCGATCCAATATCTGGAGAAAATGCAGATCCAGTTTTTGCCCACTTACAAAGAATGCTTATTTTTCCTCATCGGATGGTTATCAATTTTTATAAATTCATATGATGTGATTTTCTGGAATTTTCTTTGGGATTCTGTCTTTCACTGTTAGAATGTACATATGATTAAAGTTATAGATCGTTGCATTCTTTGTAAGTGGGCAAACCTGCAAAATCAGCAAGGGCTCAAATACTTATTTTCCCCACTGTATGTCCTCAGTATAGAAATGGACATATCGGTTTATTTTCTGTCTTCTATTCGGTCACAACCGTGACGTGGACGAATGAAGACTTTCACGAACAAGATGGCTGCATGTTGATTTATTTATCTATTCTAATTAACCCTATAATGCCATATCTATCATATTTGATTTATACGGTTTCTGAAGTCTTTGAGATTGTGAGACTTTCTGTATCATTCAGTGGTAAAAGCTTTGCTCAAACCCCTGTTGTACACATTCAGATATACCTGATAACAGCCAGTAGAAGACTACACCAACATAGATTTCTGACTTATTGCACGCTAATTTGATCAAAATAATTTATGTTTTTTTTCTTCATATGTTGTTGAGGGGCCAAAGAAAGACTTCAGACTAAAAAAATCCAATATTCTTCCTATTTTTCTTGGATCAGGCTTTTAGGGGTTAAGTTTATTGGTCATAGCGATCAAGTCTCACTATAACATGTGTATGATACGTTTGGCATTATAGGGTTAAAGCCTGATCCAAGGAAAAATAGGAAGAATTACAGGGTTAAAGTAGACAAATGAAGGTGTTATTTGTTCAGGAATGCATATTAACTCATTGACTGCCAACCATTTTCAGAACAGAGAGTCGCTCACTGCCAGAGTTTTTTGAGCATTTTGACAGATTTTTCTAGAGCCACAGAATAGTTTGTGCTATGACTATGTAAACACCGAACACACCAAAAGAAAGAGTAGACTCTCTTCTTTCATCAGGAAAAAAAATGTGTTTCTACCTTATTCCGTTCTTCCTGGACTTGCGTCTCACCGGCGACATGTTCTCTCATAGAACCGTTCCCTTTTTCTTATTTGCCTACAGTCTATGCTCATCTCCCATCAAAAGTGGCACTGCCCCCTAGAGGCTCCATTTGTTACTACATACTCTGTCTAGAAGCCCATATTTACGGACAAGCTTTAGCAGAGCGTCCCCCAGACACTCTCGTTAAAAACATAAAAGACCTCTATAGACGTCTTTGGCAGCCAATCAGTTAATGCATCCACTCACAGACATCTGCATCCTTCTGAAGTGCTCCGTTTGGTTTGGTTTGGGGGGAAACGGCACGTGGAAACTTCACTCTGTTTCCCGAAGCCTCCCTGGGAGGGTTTTAGGGATATTCCTGGCACCCGGACCCATTCGGCCTGCCGCGGAGGCGGGGATCGGCCTCTTCCGGATGTTATTTTTAGAGCTGAAGGCGGCTGAGGAGCGATTATGGCTGCACTCAACTGGAGAAACAGCTCAAATGCAGAAACAGCTCTTTCCCAGGAACAGACTGCCTCCGTTTCCAAGCCCTGAAACCCACAAATGGATTTGATGGATCCCGATTTGATTCTACAAGTCTGAAAACAAGACAAAAAGTAACTAACGGACCACAAGAACTGGCCATTCACAAGTCAAAGATGAGTTTCCTTTGAACTTTAACTTCGTTTCGATGCTGTTGCTTGTTCAAGTGTCCGTTTGCTAGCCTAAAAAGTGCTAAAATGTGATCATCATAGTGATGAGAAATTGAATATTGGGTCTACTCTGTAAGTCGCTTTGGATAAAAGCGTCTGACAAATGCACAAACAGTTCTTTCCCAGGAAACAGGCCCTAAAACCCTCAGATGCATCCCGATTAGATTCTACAAGCCTGAAAACAAGGCCATTTTGATTAGGTCACCAATAGGAAGATCCCAGAAAAGAAAATGGTAATTGCTTCATGGCAATATAGACATTAATTTAAAAATAGTGAAATTAATCTTGCAAACACTGAATTAAACTCTATCCATAATATTATGTTAAAATAGTGGATGTTAAATAGGTTTGTACAATAAGTCCAAACAAGTTTAACCCAAAAATATTTATTTCTCACAATTATGAAGGGTTAGATTTAGGGTTAGGGTCAAGTAACTAACAGACCAGAAGAACTGGCCATTCACAAGTCAAAGATCAGTTTCCTTTCAACTTTAACTCCGGTCATCAATGTGATCATCATAGTGATGAGAAATGGAATATTGGCTCTACTCTGTAAGTCGCTTTGGATAAAAGCGTCTGCCAAATGCAGAAACAGCCGTTTACCAGGAAACAGGCCCTGAAAACCAGAGATGCATCCCGATTTGATTCTACAAGTCTGAAACAAGACAAAAAGTAACTAACGGACCACAAGAACTGGCCATTCACAAGTCAAAGTTGAGTTTCCTGTCGACTTTAACTTTGTTTCCATGCTGTTGCTTGTTCAAGTGTCCGTTTGCTAGCCCACAAAATGATTATTGGTCTTCATTGGGCTATTGGGCTTCATCCTTATGGGGTTTTGACCAAAGCTTGTCACAGACATCACATTAGGACACCAGGGAGCTAGCTTAACTTGTTGAAACAGGGTATAATATGTCTCCTTTAATACTTTACAACTAATTATGGTGACATTTAAACACAAATAACCCACCTCAGCTTTCTCCCCTATCTGTGGAGACGTCCTGGTAGCGTGAGCGTTAGCATGGTAGCGTGAGCGTTAGCATGGTAGCGTTAGCGTGGTAGCGTGAGCGTGGTAGCGTTAGCGTGGTAGCGTTAGCGTGGTAGCGTTAGCGTGGTAGCGTTAGCATAGTAGCGTTAGCATGGTAGCGTTAGCGTGCCGACGTGGGCACACCTCCCTGAAGAAGTGGGTGGTTTGCCTGTGTCTCATTTGCATTTAAAGAGACAGGCATTTCTTATGGGAAAAGTTTTTTAAATGAGTGAGACAAAGTTTCTTAATAATTAGAGAAGATCGATCTTGTTCAATACAGAGATTTATTTGAAGGCAACAGCGTTCGAAGACGCAGATCACAGAGTAAACGTCCCTTTATATAACATAGTGTGGATACAGGAAAGGAAAAGGCCACTGTGCTTCTTATGAGCAACAAACAAAGACATTCTGATTTACATTCAGTCCTCAAGGCAGTACTTATTCTCAGGAGACAGAAAAGGACCTCCATGTGGATTGGTCAAAAGGAGAACCTTCTCAGGTGTGAGGATAGCACAAAGGACAAGTCATACAATTCCAATGATAAACCGGAATGGGAGATTCATCCTAGATGAGATTAAGGAGATTGTTGCATTTCCTAGTGGTGATAAAACCACAGTCTCCAGACATGAGAGACGACTCTCCCTAAAGGAATCAACAACCAGGTATCCTTAAAGAACCAAAAGAGAAAAAGCGAGCGCTCTGAACGGGGCTGTTTAGGGTTAGGGTTAGGGTTAGGGTTAGGGTTAGGCAGGGGGACTGAACTGCTATTGGGCTTCATCCTTATGGGATTCTGACCAAAGCTTGTCACAGACATTACATTAGGACACCAGGGAGCTAGCTTAACTTGTTGAAATAGGGTATAATACGTCTCCTTTAACTTCGTTTCCATGCTGTTGCTTGTTCAAGTGTCCGTTTCTTCTCGGTGGAAGAAAACGGAACCAAACAATGGAGAGGGATCTGTAAATGAAAGGGAACCGGTCTGGGAAGGGAGAGGGGATGCTGACAGATATAGCCCGGGCTGATGAGGAGAAGATAAGGGCGAGGTTGTCTCTAAACGAGCTTCTTCTCCGTGTCCCACGTCTTTCTGTCGGCACCCTTTCCGAGTCCGATTCCCACACAGATACACGCCTTCATTAGGGAGCCCTCGGGAACAAGAAAGCTCATTGTCCACCCTGGAATTTCTGCCCCCTGCCTCAAAGCTGACCTGTTAACGCCAGGCCCTCTTCCCTCTGGATGGATGAATGGGTTCCCATGAATCGGGTTGTTAACTCTCTTGATCCGGCCTCGGGCGGGTTCATCCCTGAGATGTCACAACCCAAAAGGGGAGCATGTTGGAGTTGGACGAAGGCCTATCAGGGGTGTGGATCTTGGTGGAGGACTCAGGCGTGGAGATGTTAAAAAACACGGTGCAGACAACATACATTCAATTTCCACACGCACAATTAAACAGAAGCGTTTTCAACCTGGATTTAAACACCGTCAGTGTTCAGTTCTTTCTCACATCTTCAGGAAGACTGATCCAGATTTTAGGAGCCTGGAACTGAAATGAAGCTTCAGCTGGTTTAGTTCTGACTCTGGACCCCGTCAGGAGACCAGAACCTGGTTTAGTTCTGACTCTGGGACCAGAACCTGGTTTAGTTCTGACGCTGGGCCCCATCAGGAGACCAGAACCTGGTTTAGTTCTGACTCTGGACCCCATCAGGAGACCAGAACCTGGTTTAGTTCTGACTCTGAGACCAGAACCTGGTTTAGTTCTGACTCTGGACCCCATCAGGAGACCAGAACCTGGTTTAGTTCTGACTCTGGGCCCTA